GCCATTTGGGGGGGGGGGAGGTCCCTTTCCCCAGAAAAACCACCCCTTTTTATTTTGTTCCCCAACAATTGGGGAGGACCTTGGGGGAGTGGATAATTTTGACCAGAGACAAACCAAAAAAAGGGGGGGTGCAAAGAAAACCATTCCCCAAAGGTTTTGGTTTTTCCCCTTTTGAAGGGGAAATTTTTCAAAATTTGGGGACGGGCCCTTTTTGGGGGGTGCCGTTCAATTTTTTCCTAGGCCCTTCAAGGCGGGGGGGGGGGGGGGGGGGGGGGGCGCTACAAGCAAGTCCGGCTTGTGCAGCATGTGCCACGCCATCCTTACTGTAACGGCTCCAATACATGACATGCACTCAAGGAATTCTCATGAATGGTGAGTCTTCTCTCATTCATGTTGCCAACCTTTTCTGAAGACAAAGAGGGCTAACAACATCGGAAAAATTATCAGTATTGTTCAGCACGCAGTACATAACATACCCCCCTTCGTCACCAATCAATGAACACAGAGACTACGATAAAAAACGTAAACGACAGTAACAAGGTTACTTCCAAGTACTAGATTACTCAGGAAGTAAGCAGCCCAGACACTCGCAAGAAAAAACATTATCCTTACAATTCAAAACATTTCAACAGCAGAGCGAGAAGAGGGCACAAATACCTAACTGCCCCCACGACACGGTGCAATCATGTCTCGTGTCTCAACAGAGTACCTCTGCTAAGAAAAAATAACAAGAATTTGAAGCCAGACAGAGCGAAAATGCACATTATTCAGAGGACACCATAGCGCCCATCGCCTCCAACTCCTCCGCAACTGAGTCATAAATAAATATATAACGCCTACCAATATATATATAAAAAAAAAATCAGACACCCTCGAATGTTCTTGAACGACAACTCAGCAGTTGCGATTCTCTCTTGGATGATCGAAGGTGTTTTGGCCGTTTCTCGGTGCACAAGCAATTGCACAAGCCTCGCCCTCACATAACCATAATTCGACGACGCAAAGAGAGCAGCTGTTTCGCGCTCATGTCAGGAAAAACACTTTAACAACAAGTGTGAAGAACGGATGGATTTCAAACGACAACCGAAAATAGTTCCTGTGGGGCGGCACGCTGAGCCCACCAATCACACATAGCCGACACGACCTGAATCAGGTACACAGATAGTACACGGAAGATGCGACGTGTCGTCACCTGCTACAGTACAGCAGTACCGCCTCACGACCGCTCACAGAGAGACGGCAACGCAAGGGCAAAGGTCGACCAAATGGTAGCGGGAGAACAGCAAAATCAATACACAAAACAACACGCCCTTCCCGACGACGGCAGCGTAAGGGGTAACGTGAACCCAATAGTCGCAGGTCAAAATATCGATTACACGGACATAACCCCCCCCCCAACTCCCAGCAAGACCACGACGGCACCCACCCGGCAAGTGGAAAATCGATCCAAGCTCGACCCAAAAACAGACTGAATGAAGAGCCTTTCTTGTAACACGGTGAACGTCGCTTTTTGCCCTCAGGAAGACCCCCATGAGCCCGAGAACGATAGAGGGTTTCCAACTCAAAATTTAACGTCTTGGTTCTGTCGCAAACTTTGTAGAAAATCATCCCGGCAAAATTGCACCACAACCCTAAAAATATAAAACATGGTACGGTATGCAAGAAAAAAATTAGTATAGAAAAATGTAGCAACACTTTTAATTTCTCTGTATTAATACTGTACGTTCGGACGTAAATATCCTACAACATTGGACAACATCAATTACATCCGACAACATCCGACAACACCAAATACATCCTACAACATTGGACAACATCAAATACATACCACGCACGAAGGAATGCAAGGGGGAAACCCTTGAGAACACAACGCGGACTGCCCCCCTTTTCCATTTCCCTCCCGTATCTAAGGCGAAACGACGCCTCGCCTCCTCACAAAAGGTCCAAGACAAGCGGGGGTCCTCGCTGAACAAGCGACACGCGCGGAGCTGGATTGCTGGTCGTATGACACACATCAGGCCGCAAACTCCCTTCCGCGTACTGCTGCACGAAGACAAGACACGACTTCTTCCAGGGAAGAAAGCCGCCCACCAACCGTATTGCCGCCCGGAGGCCGTGCGTGCACAGTGCATCACTGGGGGGGGGGGGAGGGGGCGACGCAAGAAACAACTACAAACAGAAAATAAGATACCCCCCGGCAAGGCCTGGCCACCTTCTCCAAACCCAAGACCATACCACTAAATATTGAAATCCCCAGACCATTTCGCGAGTCCAACCCGCTACTACTATTACTACTGCAGCCCCGTCATCCTGTTCACACTGCAGATCAACCCGCTGGGCACCGCAAACGCAAAGGATGATGGCGAACCAGCCTCTGCTTCATCCTTGTGAGTTGTACACATGTACACATAGGTTGGGGCGGCGAAAAACCCGGCTTTCACAGATCATTCCGCCCCGGTAATGAAAGGATACGAGGTCACTGCTCCAACGACTCCGGCGTGCTAGTACGTGAGTCCGACCTCATCATCCTTCGTCGCTTGTCTCCTGATTGTCCGGCAGGAATCGAGGGGCCAGCTTTGCGCGAGACAGGTAGCCTCGGATGAGAGCCTGAGCGCGAGTAACTCCTCGCCGGGACTTGGCCTGCTCCTGGACCTCGAGCGCCTTACGTCGCCATTCCTGCTCAGGGTTTCGTGGCATGTTCGTGGGCGTTACTGAGGGGGGGGGGGGGGAGTGCAGCTATCTAGTTAGGGGAGCAGAGTGGTTTCAACAGCTACTGTAGGGCACTTGCCGTGCATCTAGGCAGACCACATCCCTTCCCACACACCCCGCGTTTGCAGGCTTACCGCTTAGGGCATTGTGCTGAGATATGACAGAGACGTTCTGTCCCCCAGCAGGAAAACCTCCGGCGCGCGGAGGGTACGTCAGCCCTGGTTTGAACTATACAAACCAAGGCAAGAACATGTACGGGCCGTCGTCACCCTTGACTCGTGTTGTTCACTACGACTACAACTACGACTACAACTACGACTACGGAAACGATGACAGGCAAACAGGTCAATCATGTCAGCAACAACATCGACCAAAAAGCCACCTGCCTGTTATTCTTCCCAAGCCATCGAGACACAACAGCAAAACCAAAAAACCACGTGCGACTCTTGCGAAACTCGCCGAAACCAACTAAAAAGCAACAGCAACATCGCCAAACAAAAAAGTTACCTCCACTTCTTCCGGAGTCACCATGATCGACGAACCCCTTCGGCCAACACCCCGCCTGCTCCCGACGTCACCACCACCACCATCCCCGTCTCCGCGTCGTCCCTCGCCGTCGCCAATATTGAGCACCGACAGCCCCATCCCCCCCGAGTCCAGCAGCCCCGCCTGGCGCTTGCGGAAGCTGGCATCGCGGTCGTCGCTGGAAGTGCGGAAGCTCTCGCCCTGCATGCCGGGGCCGTTGGGGGGCCTGCGCGAGAAGCCGCCGCCGCGGGATGACGCCTTTTCTACGAGTGACCTGTTCATTTTCATATTTTCATGGGGCACGGGGGGGGGGGGGGTGACTTCATACGTTAGCGGTTTCGAAAGCAACGGGGAAATAGCTCCCATTCCGACCTTACCCGGCCATGACAGGTGAGTTGTGGATTTGTGTATGCCTGATCGCGCCGGGTCAAAGCTGCGAGTAACGCCAAGATACGGTAGGAAGGGGGGAAGCTGCACCCCGCCTAAGCGGAATTCTCTGCGCAACAGGGACAACACAACATTAGGACTGAGTGACGGCTTGCGCACCTTATCTCTGCCAGCTCCTTCATGACCGCCGCGTGCGTGTCGACCCGCCTGCCGATGGTGCTCTGCTCAGGCTCTACGGCGGTCGCCCCCTAAAAAAAGGGAAAAAAGGAAAAGCAACGCATGGGCGGCACAGCACGACGAAGGAATCATACGTAGTGTCAGCCAATACAAGCTGCTGTGACCGGCAGACAGCATGGATGTTTTCTACGTCGTTAGACTTCTAACATCAATATATCAAACAGCGATTGTAGGTCCGGCAAAGGAGAACGAGGACTGGCACAATCACCTCCATTTTGCCAAAAACATTCTGGTGGCAGAATAGCCGGCCTTCAAGCTTCTACCTGATAAGCCTCCGTGTTAACTTCTCCGCGCATGAGTCATATGCAGTTATGACCTGCGCTTTGACTTTCACGATGGGCATTTTACCTCCCCGTCTTGCATTGGTAAGTACCTGCGTGATAAGGAAGGATTGCATTAAAGTACGATTTTTTTCCCCTTGCGTTTCCTTCCCCTATCCTTCTTTGCAAGCCAGCGTTGTTCACGTAGAGTGTCGGCCCCCAAACTTGTGACGTAAAACTCGGATCGACGGTCAGGTTCTTATGCCATCGTCACCGTCTAACTTAGACTATTAATAGAGAATATTAATATTAATACCATCTAGGATGTTCGTCAGGTCTACCGCTGAGCCAGCAGTGTTTCTTAGGCATATGAATTAAAATGAGGCTATTGTTCTTCGCGTTTTTTTTTCTTTCTTTCTCACTAGCGCGCCCCACGTTTCCACCTGTATACAGTAGATGAAACGCAACAAGCAGTACGCCATGCGTTGTCATCCTACAGCTGCGTAGCACCTGACAACGTCATCTGCTGGATCACGTCACAGCGATATCCACAAGGAGGCTTGATAGATAGTGTTGGTTGTATTGTCTGTAGGTGTCGCACCACGTTACTAGGCTCGCTTTCCACTGTTCACTCCTTTCTGGTTCGTTACAAAATTTCCTTTCTGGTTCGCTACAAAAATAGCTGGCACCAACGCGGAAAACCATACACGCAACATGATTCGCAATAACATGAAATCAACAAGAACAAGAACAACAGCAACGTCAACAAGAACAACAACAACAGTAAAAGCAACCACAAAACGTCAGCAACGCCACAAACCTCGTCGGTGCAGAAAATCTCGGTGGCGCCCCCGCCGGACCAGCCGGTGATGGTCACCTCTGAGCTCTTGCCCTTGCCGGGAGCCACCTGTCGAAACGCCTTCGATGGTCGAGACAAACAAAGGGAGAAACTAGTCGACGATTGGGGAATACACACCACCACAAGGCCACAAGAAACCGCGAGAAGGGATGTTGGGATATACGTACGTCGAACAAAGGCAAAACCGCCCCAGGAGCGAAAAACACGAAAGCACAACGATGATAATCGGAAAGAGCCAGACACGTGGCTACTTAACCGCAGTTTTACGGGAAAAAATGTCGGACTGCTCGGACGTGTGGAAGCAAAGCTAGACACACCTCTGCGAAAATCGGAGAAACGCGAGCACCGCAGAAGGAAGGGGATCTGGCGTACAGGTGGGTATGTAGGCAAGCTACTAAATATTGATTATTGAAGTTGTGTTTGGTGAGGCGGAAAATGTGGCAAGATACGACAAACAAAACTCCTACACAAGGTGGGCACGCCAAAGAAATCGGGCGCCGAACAAACACAAAAAGGAAACAAAAAACAGGGAAGGACCAAGACAACAGCCTTCAGCGGGGGGCCTTTGACACCAGTGCACCTACCAAGAATGAGATGGGATGGTATGAATCCGGACCTTTGTCACCACTCCCTTTGTTCTTGAGCTGTTCCTGTCGCAACAACGGCCAATGGTCCCTAGTTAACGGCACGAGACTGACCTGTCTGCGTGTCTTGTCGGACATGATGCCTTCCCACTTGACTAGGGCGGCAGCACGGTCCATCGTTGCTTGAGCCGTTGCACCCTTTTCCATCTGGTTGCACGGGCAGTTTTGATGCATTGATGAACAACAGAGAGAAGAAAATCAACAGGTTGGCGAGGGGCGGGAGAGAGAAGGATCAACAAAAGCAAGAGGTATTGTAGAGAGAAGCGACGGATAGAAAAAGAGAAGGAGGCGACAGAGAAAAAAACACGGTCGAAAGAGATTGAAGCAGACAACGGCGATAAGGCACACGGATACGCAGAGCATGGTCGACGTGTCGCGAGTACTTCGTCTCGAAAACGGCAACGGAGGACCCCTCGGCGTGATAGATACATAAATACCCACAAGACCTTTCCCGTCAGTGCCAGCCATACCGTACCGTCAACAACGGAATGAAAACGGGTCGAAACTACCACCGTCGTTCATCGCATCGGAGTAGAGCGACATGTTGCCCTGCCACAGATGCTGGTGAAATTGTCTGGGACAGATGGAATATTCAAGTTATTTCATACTCTGAATAATGCCGGTGAAACCAGGATACCAGTACAATACTGTGAGATTCTACTTCCGTTCTTCGTTTGCCGCCGCCTGGGACCAAGCGATATTCCCGCGTAAACCATCAGTTTACGTCGGGTGTTCTTAATAAACCATACGGTTTGCGTCAACCCTTCGTCAACACCGCACATGTCATACACCGCGACAAACCTCAACCTTACGCGACTAGCGCGAAGGATGGAGATGCCATCCAAACACCACCAACCGGTATCCCTGTCCCCCCCCTGCCCCGTTACGTTGTGCGTCCAGTACATACCTCAGTGTACCCGCTCGTCATCATGGCCACCAGAAGGTTGAGGTACACGATCGCCACGATGAGCATGAAGACGACGAGCATGAGCATCGCCATCACGTGGAGTGTCCTAAAGGCACCACAGGAACGGAGGATCACCACCAGCAGCATAATCACCAGCGTCGTCGGCATCAGCACGAGCATAATCAGATCATCGTATCAGCAGCAGCGTTATCAGCATCAGCATCAGCAATAGCAGCAGCAGCAGCAGTACCACCACCCGCAGCAGCAGCATCACGATTATCAGCAACATGAGCGGAGGCGAGGGAGGGCGAACTACGGCGGCATGTTGCAACAGGCCCGGAAAAGAAATAAGGAAGCATGCGTTGCGAGGTAGAGGGCACAACAAATAGTGCTGGTTTGGCGCGGTCCACCATGTTGCTACAGGTGTCATTCATTCCTTGTACTCGGCAAATACATACTGCTCTCACTCTAGGTGCTAGGTTTGGCAGTTCCCATTGTTGCTCTCTCTCTCTCTCTCTCTCTCTCTCTCTCTCTCTCTCTCTCTCTCTCTCTCTCTCTCTCTCTCTCTCTCTCTCTGTCTGTCGGTCTCGCTGTCTCTCCCTCTCTCCCTCTCTCTCGCCTCTGTCTCTATCCCGCTCTCACATGTTGTCGCTGAAAGGCAACGAGAACTCCCCCAATGACATGACGAATATCGACACCATGCTCGCCCAGATTGTCTCGAAACCCTCGTTCCCGTCCAAAAGGGAGTAAAAAGACAGCGCGAATGCCATCTGGAGCGCGCCGCAAGAAACGGACAAAAAAAAAAGGGGGAGCAAAACCGAAACGGTCATCAGCCAACGGCAAGGAAATCCACACAGAATGGCGGACGAGTTTCCGCCAAATCAGCAAGACAAGCACCAAAGTGGTATGTACCTTATACTTTTTCTCAAGTTGGGGTGCGCACATGCAATTCGCGTGCAGAAGCATTTTCGAAGTCAGACCGGCGCAGATGAAACTGAGCCTCTGCTCTACCACTGCCACTGCAACAAGGTTCGTGTTAAGAGAGTCACGGAGTCCAAGTTGCACGCAGTAGCATACTATTATATTAATACGGAGTACATGGATTTGGCCACAATGAAACAAACTTGAGCTCCTGCTGCTTACGCCGCTGCCGCATGTTGCATGGGAGAGCCTCCGAAACAAGACCAACGCGCTGCGCAGCGCTGGAACGATGCCGCACATACGAAACTGCACGCCACACGAATGTAGACTAGGCAACAGGGATGCATCGCAAGCGTTCCCGTGAACCGCACACACCTGAAAGAGGCCAAAGAGAACGGACCAGCTCGCCGTTCCCACGATCACCATGCGGATAACCGCGATGAAGATCCCGGTCGACTTCCATACCGCCAGGTGTTCCATTAAACGCAAGAAGAGGAACAGAGCCGCGGGGGCTGTCATCACTCTCCGGATCTGCGTATGGGACGGATTTTGTGTTACACGCGGGAAACGAAAATCGGTGTTCCGTACGACGAAATATAGTCTAGTAGTCAAGCAGTAATGGGCCTGTACCGTGTTGCGAGGTACGGTATGCCGTGTAGGATGAGGGGTGTCTACGACGTTCTACATGTGGTACGGACCGTGGAATACGGCACGGGTTGTATGTCCCAGGTCCGGAGTGTCGTAAATTAGTTGGTGACGGGTACGTTGTCTTATTTTGCGGGTGAACACGCCGCCGCGGTGACAAAAGCCACACCACGGTACCCACCGCCTGCCTCGAAGGAGGACAGAGGTGAACCTGGACTACGAGGAGGGAACTCTGCAACTGGGTGTTGAGTCGATGGATGCCGATTTCGAGAACCAACATCGGACACTACTTGCCGTGGCAGGGCATGAAACATCATAATCCCGGAAGCAGTTACACACACGAAACGTCATAATTACGTAAGCAGTTACACGCACGAAACATCATGATTCCGGGAGCAGTCACACACACATAACAAGACGACAGAGGACGACAGAAGACAGGCTTGGGCGGATGAGGGTATAGCAAAAAAACTCACGAGGCCGGCGGAGGAGTACTCGAATTCGTCCTCCATCCAATCTCTGCCGTCCCCCCAAGGCCTGAACACGGGGATCATAGCAAGCACCAACACGTACGCCGTGACGGACTGTAAGTTCCAGCCCCCCTCAAGGTACCTGCATCGAGAGGCACGCAGACGGCAAAACGAAGAGGAGGGGGAGGTGGGGGGGTGGGGGACTAAGGCTAGTGTCTAGTGCACTACCCCAGCTGAACCATCGCTGCTCATGTGCTTGATTGTTTCGCAGGAGCTTCGGGTGTGCTGTAATTCGCCAATGGTCTGTCACGGGCGTGCGTCGTGCTTCCACCGACGTGAGCAGTAGCAGCGTCGGTATCAGTATCAGCACTGGTGCAAGGGACTGTTCCACCGCGAACGCAAACCAAACCAAACCGAAATATGGCTATCGAACACGACCAATCTCGACACTACATCCGCGTCTGGGTAGCACTAGCATCCGGACCACATCTCAACAGCTACAGCAGCTCCGAGTCGGGGCAGCAAGCATGCCAACGGCCTCCCCACAGACAACGCACTAGAGTCTTCTCACTTCCTCATGCTTTTGGATGCCGCCAACTCCCTCCCCTCCTCCACGACCAGGTTGTACAGCGTCAAGGTCCAGCAGAGCAGCCTCGAGATCGTGGCACCCATCACCTGATTGATCCGTTCCAGAGAAAAATAAAACAGTTACTATTTAATAGGACTATTAATAGGACTATTAACAGAAGGGCAGGAAGCGGACGACCGCTTTGGCCGTTTCTAAACAAACACGACATCAAGAGGAGGAGAAAATCTACACGGAAAAGGGTGAAAAAGTTGCCGCTTGCTCAACACAGCGCTTGTCGTGAAGTTTGCGACTGAAACAGACCACCACCACCGCAAGGCTATTGTAACGTTGCTTGATATAGTAAGGTTCCATGATACAGTATAATTTAGCGTTTGGGTTGTCGCGTCACGTGGTCTGTCTTCGCTGACCCTGGCGCACATCCCAGCGAACATTGTTAGCGTCCTTGCCGGACAGTCAGCCTAAACGTCCCTGTCGGCTTAGTCGTGCTCGTGTCTCTGCCCTACATTTACAGTGAACTTCGCTTGTCTGTGGGGAGAAAAAAAAGAAGGTGTCGAAATGCCCTGCCCTCTGTCAAGTGTATTGTAACTGGTATTGTCGTCGCCGTGTTGATTTATCTGGGCCCTTTAGTTTATCGTTTGGTTCTGGCCGTGTCTGGTACCGCATTGGGGTATTGTAGCAGCAGTTGGCCGATAACCACGGAAGGTGTCCGTACCGTATCAGTGGACCAGAATGCATGTCAAGTTGTCAAGGTGCCTGCACTACTTGAACGGAGATCGGAACGGTTTTCTTTACGTCAAGACAGCAAAAACAACAACGGCAACAACAATCCCCAACAGGAGAGCAAAGGGGGGGGGGGAAGGAAGCACCAAAGGTCGAATTGCCGACGTTTGTTGTTCTTTTCTTGGCGTCGTAGGCCAGGAAACCCGTCATCGCCGTTTAATGTAGAATCAATCTTGTTCGAATGCCTTCCACAAATTCTACAGCGCTCATACTGCTGTGCATTATTCTTCCCTTGTACCATGGTACAAATGTTCTGCGGTACGGTGCTCTCACCTGTCCGCGATCGTCATCCGAGTCGATGGGGCCGGCCCAGTTAGGTACTTCTGCCCAGATGGTAAAGCCCATGATGAAGCTCGCAGAGAGGACCAGGTAGCGGCCAAGTTCCCACACGTAGTACCTGTAACAGCGACCAACAATGCCACTGCGTTCAAGTCTGTGATTCTTTGCTGTACGTGTACATATGCATCAGCGGATGCCACTAAAGGTTCACCGCTAGATCGGATGGATTCGGGATGGTTATTTGAAATTCATATAAAGACCATATGGGTTTGCAATCGTCTTGCTGAGAGCCTCACACATAGACCAGATGGATGCCTGACGGTCGTGGGCTGCCGCCCGTTTTAAATCGGCGGCGCTTTGCACAAAAATGTATTCCTGAAGCGCTCATGGGAAGGCAAGGCTGAACCCGTTTCGCTCGAATAAAATCGAAGGCATATACCGGAGAGAAATAATCCTTTGTGAGACCCCCGATCGGAACTCTTCAGACACGACAGACAGAGAGGCAAGATCGCAGCGAAATGGTTTCACACCCTCGCAATGCACTACTGCTGCGAGCGACGGCTGCCAGGATGGCAAGACGGAGAAAACGGAAGGTCTTTCTGTTCTTGTATTGTACACTTGGGCCAAGGGAGAGCGGCAGCATGACTTTTGGTCCGAACGGCGAACACACGACAGGCATGAGACAACCTTGGCCCTAACCTCACCTTCACCCTAACCCCAACCCATCCTTGACGTCCTACACACCACTCGTTAGAGTCATCCTACACACCACTCGTTAGAGACATCCTACACACCACTCGTTAGAGACATCCTACACACCACTCGTTAGAGTCATCCTACACACCACTCGTTAGAGTCATCCTACACACCACTCGTTAGAGTCATCCTACACACCACTCGTTAGAGACATCCTACACACCACTCGTTAGAGTCATCCTACACACCACTCGTTAGAGACATCCTGCACACCACTCGTTAGAGTCAGGCGGACAGTCTCATAGCTTTAGCCACTGTCTCCGTCACCTCGAAATCGTCCTATTGTACATGATTCCCGACAAGGCCTTGCTCTCTGCGACGGGCGGGAAGCATCCCATGACGATCCACCACACGTGGGTGCTAGGGCGAGCTGCCCCGAGACGCGTAGGCCTGTGATCAGATTCTCACAGAACAACACGTGTCGTCGGGGTGGATCTCGCCCAACATCCACATGTGGCGGATCGTCATGGCACGAATCTCTCTTTTGTCGAAGAGCGCAAGGCCCTGCAGGTGAGCATCGAGGCGACGGGCGCGGGTGCAGGTGCCGACAAGGTGCATCCTGCCGTGAACCGCCCCTTGCGTACGGTTTGAGGGATCTGCACGAGAAGTTAGTCTTAAGGCTGGGTTAAGAGCCGTGGCTACTCAAAACCTTGGAATCAGGGCAGATGCAGGGCTCACGGATAAAGCTAGGCTTAGGGCTGGGCGTGCGGGTGATTCATTCCATTAATATCGTCTGCAGGGACACGAGGCGGTGCAGCAGTGTGCAGATTGTTGGAATGGTTGTAGCCGAAGACAAACAGACAAGAGACTTCGTGGTAGACGGACATAGCAAAAACAACGGTTAACGTCTTCACCTGTGCCCGAAGACCGACCACTTGAGTGCCACGACCATCTGGACAACCTTCACTTCGAACAGGGAGGTGTGGCCCGTCTGCAACAAAATGCTCAGGGGGGATCGGCTTGATGCCACCTGCATCACACCACGATTCCGGTTTCACAAAAAAACAAACATGGATTCAGCGTAAGGGATAGACAACCGGTTACAGCCACGGGGTTCGGGTACGGTACGGGTTCCTTTTTATTTTTTTATTTGATCCAACGAATCCATCTCTATCTATAGAAAAGAGTCCAATACAGATTTGCAATGGATTCATAGCATTAGCGGAAGCTATCTGTATTCTTACGATTTCCCGAGCAGCATACAGCTTTGTAATTTCCAACCGTGAGCTACATGGTATCTGCCTCACCCTAGCGTGCAATACTGTACGATCCTCCAGTTTTGTTTCTTGTTTGGGGGTGCTGGCAGAGTACTGATCTACGGGGCCTTCGGGGGATACATAAATGATGGACATGCCGCGTGGGGAATCGTCCTGCCTCCCTCATGTCGGTCACTCGAAAAATATACCAAGTCAACCTTCTCTTTCGGCCTCTTGGCGAACATGCTGCACACAAACACGGTATCACTCCGGCCGGAAATTTTGTCTAGATTCAGGTGCAAAACATGAACAAACGCTGCTTAGGGCAGCGCTATGTTTATTTTAAGCCTGGAAGTGATGACAATGCGTTTAGGGGGGCGACCCAAAATCCCCGCGGTGACCAGGGGACGGAATTGTACATATTTCTATTGCTGCATTGCTACGGGTCACTTCACCACCAACAACCACAACACCACCACCACCACCAGCAACAACAACAACAACAACAACAACAACAACAACAACAACAACAACAACAACAACAACAACACTACCTCGGGCAGCCCGTAGAGAAGCTTGATGTCGTACGTGCGCTCGGACCACCCGGTAGGTGCCACGGGTCTCTTCTCGTCTGTATCCCACGAATACTTCTGCGCCTTCATGTCGTGCTGGAAACCCCGCAACACCTGCGGTACAATTAACAACAGCGTCATCGAAGACGTTTGCAAGTGGAAGAACGTAACGGCCGTGGCGCCTGGGTGTGGAACGCGGCGCTACAAGATAGGGGTCAGGATGATGGTCGCTGGCAAGGCACCCACCCGCCCGCGAACCAAAAGATGCTATTGTCTATTGTAGGAAAGGCAACCGTCGTCACTCAAAACGGCCTGATCGGTGACCACCACCAACAGCAACAACATAAAGTACACGACTTGAGTGCGCAGGCGCGGTGCATCCCGTGCATGTCTCTTACAGCTGGGACCAGCGATTGATGCACGAAGGGAAAAGTTGTTGCAGGTGGTGCGGTGACTATCATTTCCGGTGCATGTCTGGTACCGGTGGGACCAACGGTGCACGCCGGGTTCAGCTCACGGGTGACCGCCTCGCCTACATCATCGTGTACACATGCTGGAACTACAACGCTTAGATTGGTACTTCTTTGCTTCTTTGTGCTTATCGAAAACAATGGTGTGGTAATACCCCTGTCAACAACTACCGTTGACACGACGTGCGGCAACTCTTTGTGTTTCTCTCCAGCGACAATGTATAAATGGTGTACCTCTGGCAACACTTGTAAACGACAACTTTTGGCAGTTTTCATGCTTCTCTCGAAACGACCATGGATAAACAAAATAGTACACCTCTGGCAACGCGTACTGGTGGCACGATAACGTTCGGTATCGCTGTGATCATCTCTTTGTATTTATAATATACCTCTGGCAGTAGCTCCGGCCACGTCTTGGCCACGAGCGCGAGGTCCCTGTTCTCCTCCTTAAAAATGTTGTTCCTCTTGCATGAGATGCAATGCTGCCCCTCTGTGCCGTACCTGAAAATATATATCGTTGTTGTTGTTGTTGTTGCTGCTGCTGCTGCTGCTGTTGCCATTGTTGCAATATAGAGCATAGAGGCGGTGTGGGTGGTGACATTGCTGTATGGTATTCTTTTTCTCGCACGCGAACTACCGTTTCGGCCGCCTGGCACCTTCGCGGGCATGGAAACCATTAACGTAGGCGTCTGCGAAGAGGGGGATTGTTATCCATGCCCTTGACGCTCTAGGCCTTCTCTTTGGCGCGTCAAGGATCGGGAAAAAGGAAAGCATGGCGCCAATTCAGTCTTAGGGATGGCCTCGCGTTCGAGCTGAGGCGTAAAGACCAGGCTATACAGCTCAGCCAACAGGCCGCCTGGGCGCTAGATAAGGGCGCCTGCGACTAACCGATGCCCCCGGATTGTTCATTTACAGCCTCTCGACGTTACTTTCACTCTCCCCGTCCCCGTTACTCACTCTCTGCTTACCCTCGAAAAACCGAATTGATCAATGAACTAGACACGAATTTCTCGATGTACACGGTCGTTCTCTCCGCTCTCTCTCTCTCTCTCTCTCTCTCTCTCTCTCTCTCTCTGTCTGTCTCTGTCTGTCTGTCTGTCTGTCTGTCTGTCTGTCTGTCTGTCTGTCTGTCTGTCTGTCTGTCTGTCTGTCCCTCTCTCTCTCTCTCTCTCTGTCTCTCTGTCTCTATTTTTTTCTCTCTCTGTGTATGTCTCACCCCATGAGCCACCTGGCGATGTGTTCATGGTTGTGCAGCACTGCCACACCGAGCGGCGTCAGTGACCTCGCGCTCTTCTGCAGCCCCCGAATACGCCAAGACCTTGCGGCCCCCATGTGCTCCGGCTTCACCAGTCGGATTTTTTGCATCTGCATTACCGGGAAGGCAATGAGCGAACAAGGTCAACGGCAGCCATGCGCGGACGGTGGCTGGGATTCGCAGGTAACCATGAGGGCGTGTGGGGGGGTGCGCAGAGTAGAGAACGCATCCGGCAGTGAGAGACTAGCAAGCTATTTATTGTCCCATCGCATATCACACCGCCAAATTAACGCAGTACATGATCTACCCTTCCTCCATCCCATTCCTCACATCGTCATTGCCCTCCTCCCCCTCCGCTTCCCCCCCCCCCGTTGTTGCCACCGGGGTTGGGTTTTCGTCGCTTGGCAACGACGTTGAAAACCAAGTCGATCACGTCGTGAGCTCGGCAACCAGCTATTAATAACACTTCTTTTCTTGCCTCTGCTTTTTTTTTTTGCGGTAGACATAATGGTGTCGAATAGATCATGTTGTGCGGGGTCGAGAACCCTAACTCCCCGCAAAGGGGATGATCACACCACGTTGTGTTAAATTGGTCAAGCACCCTCGAGGCAGTTACACAGCAGTGCTTATAATTGTCTCTGGAAGTGAAACCACCAGAAAGAAAATAGATTAAGTCATACGCAGCTGTCATCCCTACGCAAAGAAGTAAGCACAAGATGCCGAACACCTTTAGCAGGATGCAGCGAACTCTTCATGCAACTCGCCGAATAACTCACGGCGCTTCGCGCTTGGTGATGTGGTGATGTGAGAGCCTGGCTCCCCCCCCGGTGTTTGCCATCGGGGTTTGGGTTTTCGTCGCTTGGCAACGACGTTGTAAAACAAGCCCCCCACTCGGTGTTTGCCATCGGGATTGGGTTTTCGTCGCTTGGCAACGACGTTGTAAAACAAGCCAATTCACTTCGTGAACTCGGCAACCAGGTTACCGTTTTTTTGTTTACCTCGTTTTTTTTTTTTGGCGGTAACCATAATGGTGGTCGAGTAGATCATGTTGTGCGGGGTGGAGAAACCTCACTCCGCGCAACGGGGGATGATCGCACCACGTTGTGTTAAAATGGTCAAGCTTCCTCGAGGCAGTTACACAGTGCTTACAACTGTCTCTGGAAGTAAAAGCACCAGAAAGTAAATTAAGTCATACGTAGCTGTCATCCGTACGCAAGGAAGTAAGCACAAGATGCCGAACACCCTTAGCAGGATGCAGCTCACCCTTCATGCGACTCGCCAAATACCTCACGGCGCTTCGCGCTTGGTGATGTGAGAGCCTGGTCCGGTGAGAACCCGGCGTGCTCCGTCCCGGCTTTGTAGGGATGCGAGGTCAATGGTCAAACGACTACGGCATGCACGACTATGAGTACACCCCCCCCCTCCCCCCCCCCGCTTCGTTGTGCCCCCCTTCTCACCCTTCGAAAGTCTAGGATTAGGATTAAGGTCAGGGTTGTTACTGTGTCCCCCGTCTCACCTTTTCGAAAGCCTTGGCCCAGTTAGCGCGGGTGGCGGGATACTTGGTGTACTCGCTTATCCACCGCACGGTGTCGAGGTGCCCGTGGAGCACGGCCCAGTGAAGGGGCTGGGAGCCGAAGTCGTCCTTCTCCGTAAGCGATAGCCCTAGCTCTTCGACCAGATACCTGATGGCGGGGTGTGTGGTCGAGGGGGTGGGTCAAGGCGCACGGACGGTCTCACACGGCACAGTTTGAAGCCGTCCTTCGGTTTTTCATTGCTGGCTACGGTACCACAAGAAGAGCGACTGGTGCAGACCGAGCTGGTCAAGCTGTTTAGCAAACTGATGGGCGACAAGACAAGGGGAGGCAACCTGCCACTGAGATCGAGACAAAGACACACGCAAGCACAGGAAGCTCAGCAAGAGACAGGCGTCCTGAAATTCTGGCGTAGGCGACAGGGAACTCGAACACACAGCGAGCCGGCTAGCCGGTACTGCAAGCTTGACATCTAAACATACTGCAAGAATTGACACTGGCCCACAACGAAGACCGACTACCACAAACACCGCCGGAAGACCACAAACGGTCAAGAGAGAAACGACCAATAAGGACACACAGCTCAGGGCTAGGGAGAAACACAGGCATGGCATGTACGGTGTACCCCAAGGGGCGGTGCTACAGTCAAGGCAAACAATCACCGCACGGACAAAAAAGACTCACTTGAGCATGGGGATGGCCTCCTTCCCCCTGCTGGACACGAGCAGAAAGAGCATCGTCTGCCCCACCCGGCTCTTGATGTGAATGTCCGCGCCCTTCTGCAGGAGGTACCGGAGCATGACGCCGCTGTCGCCCCTCTGCATGAAGGCCACGCTGAACCATACCACAGGCATGCCCATGGCGTTCTTGAGGTTGACGTCCATGTGCTGGTTTCGGGCAATGGCGACCGGCAGCCAACAAACGGAGGTCGAGCAGAAGGAGAGTGGGAGTTAGTGAAGGCAGGCATGAGCCATGTGCTCGAAGCTGACAGCTCGGGCGATGCCTGCTATTGTAACAAGAACTGGAAGAGGGGAACGAAAGCATGCCTATTAACAACACAGACTACGACGACGACGACGACAGCACACGAATATACAAGATGCCTGGAGCCTAACATATTGTCAGCGGCGTATGCATACCTATAACAGATTACGATGACAACAGCACACAAACATACAACGACGATGCCCGGAGCCTAACGTAACGTCAATTGACGTAAGCATACCTAACACAGACTATTATACGACGGCCACAAGGCACAACGAAGAGACATGAAAAAGCCAACCGCTGGTATGGTGCATGGTGTCAATCAGACTAGAGTTAACGTGCAGTGCACCCACCTGCTCCTCGAGGAGGTACTCGACCAAGGAATACTGCTTGTACCGCACCGCCGCTCGAAGGAGGTTGTCCTTGTCGGGAAACGCCGGAAATTTCTCCAGAAAACTGTTCTCGGAAAAACGCGTTTCACAGCGGTGGGGGGGGGGTAGGGGTGTACTCATGTACTCATAGTCGTGCATGCCGTAGTCGTTAGACCGTTCACCTCGCATCCTTACAAAGCCGGGACGGAGCACGCTGGACGGGCCAGGTGGTGGGTGGGTGGGTCGGAAAATGGGCAAAATTGGCCGGTGCCCAATCGAACGGCAGCTTGTACCCTCGAACTATATACCGCACAGTTCAACGCCCACGGCACCTCCCGAGTGTGGTATGGCCACCAACTCCCAAACACCTTTTACATTTCTTACATATTGTAATAATCTTAATCTCTTACATGTTCCGGCGAAAAAAGACAAACACACCAACAGCGGGAGCAGGAAACACAGCAGAGTACCGCTCTCGTCACAGCGCTTCCACACCTTCGGACGCCAAGAACGTCTCCCGACCTCGCCATCTGCAGAGGTATCCAGCGTCCCACCAGGTATTCCCACCTGAAAACCACCCCCCCACCCGACACCAGTTATATCGCGCGACGTGAGCGACATATATAAGCAGCGACACAGACGAAGGAGATAATGGCCAGGCAGGCGAAGCATGCCAAGCCACCACGCCTACAACGATGGCCCAAAGGTGAATCCAGCCGGTAACTGGAGACCGACCTTTCATGCATCCTTTTCCTCGTTGACTAGGCTCAAAAGGCGGACAAGGTTCAAGGTTCATGCCGGAGTGCATTGGGTCTATCAGTCGAAGGACAATTTTGATCGCCACGGAAGCACCCAGAACCTAAATAGTAGAGAATCTCCAAGACAAGCGTTGGTAAACAGTGGCGGCTGCAAACCGTATCCGTAGGCTGAAAGTCGATGCACAAGCGGAGGGATATACTGGTGAGTGTTGTTGCAACTGCTTCGGAACGAAGAGATAAAACAGAAAGCCATGACGCACTACACCAGCAGCAAAATAGACTAGACTGTGAACTTTGAACGAGCTAAATGGCAACAGATAAGACAGATACACGTCCACCCTGTGTGACCCTGGATGGTTGTAGTTGTACGAAAATACGCTGAAACGTGTAGTACTCTACATACACTGAAGAGTGCAGTACCCGTCTCACCACGAAAAATGGGGGGACTGTCGCCATAATAAAAAGGAAGAAAAACGCAACACACAAAAATCCCAGGAGGGAAGAGCGCTAGCGTGCTGCCGTACCTGTCCACCACGGGCGACAACTTCGCTTGTACTGAAGCGCGCTTCTTGCTTCTAGCCCACGAGCATTCGCGCCGATACTTGTTGCCTGACTCCGACAGGTGCTGACTGTTTTTTATTGTCGAGTACGGATGGGCAAGCGGGGAGAGAAGGTTAAGAAAATCCTGTGATGAAGCACAACAATCGCCAACCAACGACACTTACCCATACCTAGCATCGCTGCTGGTCTGGGTCGTACTGCACAAGGGAAATTCACGGCATGGAGAAGCCAAACAACAGAGGGAAAGTCTCAGCTACCCTGGTAGGAGTGACAACGAAAATATACTCCCGGCCAGTGCGTCGTAGGCGACGCAAGATAACACACCCCATCGGGGGGAATTTCATAGCTCCATATCATTGAGGTTGGAGCTGACATGTCTTTTGGAAGGTTTTCGACGATGCTTGTCCACTACCACCCCATTGGGGCACAAACGATCTCCGCACAAAAACAAACCCAGCCACCGAAGCTGGTGTAGTATATCGTGATTACAAGCCGGGGGCAAGCCTTAAATTACTGGATTAGGGTTAGGCGGGCGGCCACGTTCCACACCATTCTCCTTTCTTGCTCCCCCCACAACATTCTTACCTTCCGCTTCCGCCATTCTTGCCCGGCTCGGACGTGCAAATGGCACGGTCGTTCTGTCGGACGACCCCCGCGACTCTTCTCCACAGATTCGACGCCCTGCTACTGTCAGAGATTGGATTTCCCTCGCCCCCTTCTCCTCTTCCTCCTGTTGCCGGCTTTCCCTGTCCTTCCGTTACAACGGGGGCCACGACCAGACTACTCGCCGATTCTTGGTCGGAAACCTTGCACGTGGTATCGCTCCGCTTCAGCGGCCGTCTGTGTCGGCATCGGCAGACATGCAACAGCGGCATGACCACCAGTGAGCGTCAGAAACACCCCCGAAGTCTGCGGGAGCAACAAGCACCACAGCTATATCACAAGTGTCACCCCCCCAAAGATGGCTCAAATGAACGAGAACATAACAACACAACACCCACCTGCGAAATCCCCGGCTTGACAGTCTCGCAGCGCTTCCACCCCCCCCGCCCCCTGTACTGTTCTGGCCTTTTCCCTCCTCCTCTTCGTGTTTGGTTTCGTCATGGTTCGAGCCGTCTTTCTCTGTTGCGTCGACGCTCCCGCCGCCGCCGGCCGGGTCCTGCCGTATCAAACATGTTCATGTTCCAGCAGGGATAAGCATACACAGCAAGATGCAACCGAAACCCGAAGACAAAATCACCCGGAAATCGAAGTGCAAGTTGGTCAAGTTTCTTCCATCGTCCGCAGTCACGAACAGATTAAATTCGTGGAACGACAGAGAGTAATTCGTTCGGAACAAGGCCGTTAAGTCTATAACTCGCTCAACGTGCTCGTGGGCATTGCTTGCCACACACAGATTCAACGGAATACCGTAGACGACACAAGATAACACACCCCGGTGATAACATTTTGGGCTTTAAAAATATTATCACTGGGTGTGGTATCCTGTGTGGGGGGGGTGTTATCCTACGTAGTCCGGGTGATAAAAGTGCAGCTCGCTTGGGCCCTTAAGGGGGTGTGACAAACCAGGGGGTGTAGTAGCACGTCCGACCACGCACAGGGTGTGTTTGGGGTGTGATAAATGAGGGGGTAAGGGGGTGTGCTAGCACGTCCGAATACCCACAGGGTTGTGTTTTGGGTGTGATAATGAGGGGGCGTGATAAAAAGGTGTTATAACACTTCTTGTAGAGTTGAACCTCTGCTGCCGCACACTTGGTTGGTACTGCGGGGGTGTGATAGCAACGCCTGTACGACGAACACTTCATGATTTGTGGTTCTGCAGAATGAGGTAAAACAAAGGAGCTCAACGGAGGTGACGAAACTCCTGAGCACATGACTCGGTGGCCACAGAGTGCGCCATCCGTCGTGCCCCTCCTCACACAAAAGAGTAGGCTCCCGCATACCTTGCTATTGGGTACGACCAAAAGAGAGTTACGCAAATGTTGTGTGTGTGAGATACTCACATGCCCACGCGGCAGATGTTGTATCACCCCGGTGTTATCTTATGTAGCCCCGGTGATAAATCGATCGTTTGTCAGAAACGCCGAGAATTATCACCGGGGTGTCGTATTCTGTGGGGCGTGTGGTTTCTTATGTGGGTGTGTTATCTTGTGGCGTCTACGGTACTGTCGTGCCACACTAAATCGTGGCTTTCATACAACCGAAACACACCCAACAACACACCGCACACCACCGCGTTCTACTTCACGCGTCCAAGTTATAGGACCAAACGAGGCACTTCCACCTCTTCCCCTGAATCCTTCCAAGGGTGTGTTTAGTAAAGTATTACAAAACGCCGTACTCAAGAGTATTTGAGTAAGTATTTCAAAACTCGGTTGGGGAGTGCGGCTGAGTATTTTTGAAACACTTACTCAAACGCTTCAGTAAAAGTTGAGTATTTTTGAAATACTCACTCGAAGCCTTTGGTATTTGTTGAGTATTTTTGAAATACTTACTCGAGGAAATGCTCAACGGATGAGTAAAATACTCAAGCATCTGAGTACGCACGAGTAATTTGAAAATACTTACTCAAACGTTGAGTACACATGAATACTTTTGAAAAACTTACTCAAACGGTTAGTACACACGAGTATTTTTATAGTACTTACTTGAGGGCAATACTCAAGGTTGAGTGTATACTAAAAAAATACTTGAGTGTATGAGCATACTTTACTAAACACACGCTTGAAACCTTCGCACTCGTGAGAACACGGTCACCAACCCCCATACATTGACTTCAGCACGCTTGCCATCCACCTGGAATGCATGGCCTTCGTATCTAAGCATGGCGTACCATCATTGATGCATCGGGACCCCTAAGTTCGAGATGAGGCATTCGTGTGCCTCTTTCCAACCCACACAATTCAAACAAAGGGCCAGCGGCAGCGGCAGCGGCAGCGGCAGCGGCAGCGGCAGCACCAGCACCAGCACCACAAAAAAAATGCCCCAGTCCTTACCGCAATCAACGCTGCCCCAGCCTTCCCAGAGTTCCCCTCGGCGTCCCGGCGGACCGCATTCCACAAACGCCAAGAGCGAACTCCTCGCCCACCCCTAGCAGCCGCCACCGTATGCGGCCGTCTCGAGGTGCCCGCGTCTCCCCCGAGGCCAGCGATCTCCTGGCTTATTGCTACCTCCCACGCCTCGCTGTCAGGCCGCGTGGTGGAGTCGTTGACGTTGACGGCGCTACAAGTAAAGCAGAGCGGCGAGTGGCCCGGGCCGCGGAGCTTTACCAGCGCCTGAGGCGTTGACCGCAGGGGTGTAGGAGCGGGTGCACGGCGAGCATCGTTGCCACGGTAGCAGCGGCAGCCGTAAGGTAGTGGTAAAGGTGTGAGCATGCCATCATCTACTTCACATACCTGACGTATTTCGTGCACATCTGAAGAGACGTGTGCCACCCCGCACCAACACGATCGAGAACCGGCTACCCCCCCAACCCCCCTCTCCTGCTTTTCTCGGTCCTTCGGGCCCCTCTCTCCCAACCTCTACGCAGATCTCGGCGGTGAAGTGGTTACGGGGATGGCAACAACTTCGCTGCTTCTGCGCCTTTTGCAACCTGATGCCGTTTGCAGCGGGTGCTAGCTCAGTCTGCTGTCTCCCCTTGCATGAGCTAATAGTAGATGCGTGACGCACCGCACGCCACTGTTGTGAGCTGTGCCATTGCTGTTAAAGTGCTCGTCGCAAGCTTTGCTCCTCTCCACGTCCTGAGTGGTCTCTGCTTCAAGGTAGAGTCCTAAAACCTTGTCTACTATTTAATAATCCTTTCCAGATTGGTGGCTGTCCTTCGCAGTAGCAGCAGCAGCTGCTGCTGCTCAGAAGCCTCACTTCTTATCCACTGCGGGATTGCTGCCTTCTGTGGACTCCTCTGTCCCGCAATCCAATTTTCGGTCCGCCACAAAGCCATACAGCAACACCTGTATGTAGAAAGGCAGCAGAGGACTTTCCCCCCAATGTAGTGCCAGCCTCAGGCGCGACCGGCAACGCACCCTCGAGTAACTCGCTCGACTCGACACTCGACACTCACCCCTTCCCTTTCCCGCGTCGTCTCCACGACCGACTCTGCGCTTAGCACCACATCGTCCAGGGGTTCTTGGTGATCGGCCCAGTCGCTCTTGCTCGCATATACCAGCAGCACGGCGTGGTCTAGCACGAGGAACCTGGGCAAGACGCCATCCCACCACCAAGAAAAGCGTGCGGGATCAGATGATGAGTGCGACACATCCTGTCGGACCGTTTTGGATGGTTGGTCTTCCTGTTATCGTGATCTCGTGTTTTGTTCGTCCCATCTACTCTTGGTGCGAGTCTGCACCGCTCTGCTCGGTACATGTTCGACACATGAGCCGGGGTCATCACACAAGAGTAACAGACGACGCTTTCCTGCTGCGGTGCTTTCTTTCAACGGTTTACGCGATCTGCAAGGGCTCAGCAGCCCCCTCTCTCAATTGTGTGCTGTGCGTATCACGACTAGCGTTGGTGTTGTTCGACGCACTCGCCGCATGAGACTCAGCACGAAAGGTACATGTATTTCGCCTGACAATAATAAGGCGGGGGACGCGGGAAGTAAAAACACGATGCGGCCTCCACCAAGCGAAACATGAGAGACACGCCACTGAGATGATGAGCAATGGTCCACTCGAGAGAACGATTAGGGCTGGCTCTGTTTGAAATGCATGCTGTGCCCCCGCCACTCTCCACACCGCGCTGCCTCCCTCTATCCCTCTGGTGTATTCGTGAGTCCCAAAACCACTGCTGTTGGCTGTTCATTAACGCTGGCGGCAGCGCTTCTACGTGGCGATCGTATGGCGGTACACTACTACAAGAAAAAATAAACACAAACACAGAAAGACTACCCATTCGAGATATAACCACAGTAGTCGAACGGGATGTGTTGGGGTCTTTGCAGTGAATGGAAGGAAACCTACTGCTGTAGCAGGGCGAGTGTGTCACGGCGCGTCCCCCTCGGGTCGCTGGTCTTCCTCTCGTCTGCTGTAGAGCTAGACAAGACACCTCCAGCGGGGAGCGGATGCGCCAGTCTTGAAGATCCGGTGCATTGCGGAAGTTTTCGGTAGCGGCGCAGATAGAAAACTGCAAGGGAGGAGAGTTGTACCCCTGGCTCATTAGCCCCCGCTCATCTACTGCTGTAGTATTACTACTTCAAATTTCGCATCTACGACGCCAAACACAACGTGACGGCGTATCCACGAACAACGCCATTGGTTCATTATTCTATTCAGTCAACCACCGAGCAGTTTACTCGGAAGCGCTAGGACAGCAGTGAAGTGGCATTGCTCGCATGCCTCCCCAGCAGTACAATACAACACCTGGATTGTATGCATGCTCATGCTATGCTGCCTTCATAGTGGCCTCCAGTCTATGATAGAGGTGGCCTCAAGCACAAATTAGACGGGGCAAGACCCAGTTCGGACTCCAGCAATCCTTCAAAGCACGTCATTGAACTAACACAAGCATTATTCAGATTCAGGCTATGGGGTACGGTAAGGATGCGGGCCTTGGCACGGATCGGCTACATGGCACAGGCCGGGGTCTTGGCACGGGGGGTGCGGAGAAAAATCGGGTTCAAAGGGATTTAATTGATCATCACACAGGTATCGTTCACTTCGCACAGGGAAGGCGTGTGCCGAAGCCCCGATATCTTCGACCCCGATACCTTCGGCGAGATTGGGTGAAACCATCGTACCCAGCTGTTTCTGTCGCGGGCCACTAAATAGTGTACCAAGGTACATACATAGCTTGTATCATGGGCTCCACCGCTGTACTTTGGCATCGTAACGTTGCTCATGTGCAAGTGATGTTGTTCAACATTGTCGTTTTCGTTGGAATCGGCAAACGGTTTCTACTCAATCAACCAAGCACGCGTACAAACCACACGAGACCAAACGATCACAATCAACTACGGCACTACGAAAATTACAGGTAAGATACCGGGAAACAATATGATTGCATGGCCAAGGACTGGCAGGCAAAAAATTCAAAATCTCGACAATAAAAATCCGATAATAGATTTGTTCCCGACACTCACCAAAGTGACCAATACTCCGATTATCGATATTTCGATATCGATATTGCCCAGAAAAACTCGAGCGGCTACAACAAAATGACCCGTGTCTTCCTGTCTTTGCAAATCACGATTGATTGACCATGGTCTATAGTCAACGCAACTGCAGGCACGACGATACGTACGATGACCCACTGCTGAGAGGTAGTAGTGTATTCGGCGACGCGTTTGTGTGTGGAAGTATCATCATCAGTAGATAGATGGAATTGAACTTTCCGTCAAACGAAACAATAAGTGAGTATGTCTAACAAAGGACGAGGACCCTTAGACTGGAAGCCTGTAGTCTTATACCGGCACTGACTGACTGACCCAGGTAGCACGACATGCAGAAAAAAACGCCAAGAAGATCGACGGACAAACAAGTCAGAGCTACATATACATGCTACACACTACAACAACAGTGTTGCATAATCATATCCGCCTGCATCCAATCCGAAAGTTGAAAGGCTCATGTCCTGTGTGTGTGGTATGCGGGACCGGGCATGGTGCGCAGAGGACAGAGGGTGTGGTGTGTGATGTGTGCTTTGCACCTGGCAAGCTGTGCGCATGATAGTGGGGGGCCGTGCTATCAACTAGGGTTAGGTATGTGCTAGTTTGGGGGCCCCGTGTCTGAAAATATCGGTACTGTATCGGTATCGTCGATATTCGACAGTGTCGACATATCGGCAATATAATTCAGCGATTTCGATGTTGAGTATCGCCGATAAATCGGTATCGAATGTGGCAATTCGATACGCGATCTCCATCACTCGTGAGCACACACCTCTGTGTCGGGGAATTTCAAGGTAATTCGCCGCCTCGCCGGCTCGGATTTTTATTTCGCCGCATGTGTTTTGTTATGTCTGCTGCGATTTGTTCAGGATCGCACACATCGGAGTCTTGGCACGGGGGTGTGCGTTCAAAACACCCCACATCGCCGCTTTGTTTTTACTCAGGCCAGCTGTTATGGAGATATTTTCCGATTTGGAATCCGGGGGATCGGCAGACAATGCTCCACCACCCCCTACATTGTAAAAGTAGGAGGTCTGCGTACTGGGCAGCAAGCAGAGAGCACAAAAGCGCTTTGTCAGTTCGTCCTCGCCTCCCAGACCCCTGTTTGCCATCTAACAGATAAGGCTGTACACTCCACTACTGTGAGCTTCTCGGAGCCAAGTTTGGGCAGCTAGAGTGCAGTGTGCGTAGAGTATGCAACGATATGAAAGCAAATTCACGATTCCCAATTTGGAATTTCAACCAGTTGGGAATTCATGAGGAATTCCCACCAGGATCGTCCAGCAATTCCAAATTGGAATTCCTATTTTACCAAGCATGGTGAACACACACTGCACCGCAGCTCCCCAAACTTGGCTCGAGGAGGTTCACAGCAATGCTCTACGCGGCCTCGAAGGTTTGAATGCAAACGGGTCTCTGTGAGGCGAGTACTGAGTGCCAAAGCGCTATTGTGAGCTTTTCCAACGAATTACGCAGAACTCCTGCTATCTCATGGGGGTCAGGATGTAAAAGGCGTAATATCGGGATTCCCAATTGGAATTCTTCCATAACAACTGACCTCAGAATCGCACGGGTAGGAGTCATTGCACGGGGGTGTGCGTTATATTTTCAGGAACAAACATTTAATTCATGTTCCGCACAGGTATCGGGTACATGGCACCCCTGCGCCATAGAAAAACCGGAAATAAAAACATGAAAAAAAAACGCAGTTAGTCGTGCCAAGATCAGGCGGGGCGATACCACGGGATGTTTTGCCCAAAAGACGAGCAATTTGTTCAACGCCAGTTTTTGGATACGAACAAACACCGAGAGTCAACGATTATGGGAGCTCCCCAGAGAGGGCTAGAGTTGCCCCATAGCAAAGAAACGGCGACAAGCAACGCGACTCTGTTTACACAACTGCTGGAAGGTCGTCTGCTGCTGTCCCTGGCAGAGGAGAGCAGGCGCAGGCATTCTACCGTAATCTTGCCGCAAACAAGAAACAACGTTGTGTGATATACGACAGCAGCCAGCAGTCTTTGCCGAGACTTGCGTCAAGAGCTCTGTGACGCAAGCCTCATTAGACCTCACCTAGGGTTTCGACGCCCCCAGCCTAGGGTGCCCAGAAGCCCAAGGCAACGGTGGAGGACAACTGCACCCTGGATGGGGCCACCTGAAGACATTAACGGGGACAGGACCTATTGGCGCCTCCTTCAAAATTGCGAGACCAGCGGAGAGCACCCACGGCACAGCTGGGGCGACCGCGGAGACCAACTCCTCGTAGTGACTGACACAAACCAGAAGAACGAGGCGATGGGGTCAGTGACCAGCAGTGTGCTCGTGAACCTAAGCCTGCTGCTGTGTGCCAGACCTACCAATCATGCAGAGTGGGTAATCCCCCCATACCCGCACCGCTCCTTGCAATACCATCTGTGATGCCCCTCCGGATGCGCGCAACACACACCCAGACAGAAGATCGAAGCCACACGCCGACGCATCATCCCTTTGCAGCGGAGAGAGGAGACAGCAGAGAGAGACTGTAACCGGTGTTGCTGCCTTGGCTGTGTGTGTGTGTCGAACGCCGCGAAGAACGCGCAAGAGGTGCTGCGTGCCATCGCGATGTCGGAGACCAACGGGAAGGCGGCAGCCGCACCGCCGATCGGAGCGGCGACCGTAGCTTCACCTGCGGCGGACAGTGATACGTCTGCTGCTGCTGCTACGGCTGCCGTTGTCGGCGACACCGCCGCCACCAGCAATGCTGCCGCCGAAGAGCATACGACTGCCTCCTCTTCCTCCAGCAGCAAGAACAAGAAGAAGAAGAACAGGAAGAAGGCGAACGCGGCGGCGGCGGCGGCAGCAGCAGCAGCCAAGCCCGGAGGAGAGGATGCAGGGGCAGGGAATAGCAGCTCGGCAGCAGGAGCGAATGGTGCAACAGCTGCAGCTGCCGATGGCGACGCAGCAGCTAGAGGGGAGAACGGGGGCGATCAACAAGCGGCTGCTGGGGGCGGCGGGGGCGACACAGTAGCCGCGCTTGGCAGCAGCGATGGGGGGGGAACCAGCGCTGGTGCCGGTGCTAGCGCTAGCGCCATGTCGAACGGGGCGGATATCCTGCGAATGCTGAAGAAGCAGCAGATAGAGAGCGCGTTGGCTAGGGCGGGGGCGGCGGCGGCGAGCAAGGGGCCTAAGGAGCACAAGTGAGCGAAATGACAATACTGTAGCGGGCCAAATGCAGAGAGAGGGTGGGAGGTGGTGGATGTGGCTGGGTTTCGAGAGCACATTGTGTATTCGCTTTGCCAATTGGCTATCTGTGTAGACAGACTCCTTGTGTGCGAGAGGCGGTACGTGCAGGCATCACGAACTGAGACTGCCTTTCACCAGCGTGATGGGTCTTCAACTATCGCGCACTCATGATGCTGGATGGTTCTTCACATCTGTTGAGATATAATGCAAATCGTTCTTTCTTACCTCAGGACCTCTCATGAGGACACTTTCCGTGGTGGCAGCGACTGTAACCACGCTGCACTAAAGATTGTGTACATACATACACACCCAATAGGGCATGCATACCACATGTTAAATATATCTGATATCGTGACAAATAGATGAGACCCAGAACCACACACGCGGCGGTGCATAGCAACACGACTTATTCACCTCCGGCTCAACACGACTTACTCACCTCCGGCTTTGCCAAGGTAGGTGACATGCCAGTCAAAGAAGATCGATACCACTCCGACCCCACCACTCGATTCATGAGGCCAGACAGAATAATATAATGGTATTAATGTTCTGTTCTACATGCTGGTGAACAATTCATTCGGCAGAAGCCCGGGTTTGTGTGCGCCTGAGCCGGACTTGCACTAATCATGCGTGATACATCAAGCCTTGCAGTTGGCGCTTGTTTCCGGTGCTCAGGTCGTCAAGGGTGTGAAGCACGGGGTTCTCAGAGGTGTCGTGGGTGAGAAACCTACGATACGTTCGAACAGATGATCAACCCTTTCATCGTGTCGGAAACGATCACACATGCAGTCACACAGAGAGACGGCGGAGAACAGTAGTAATCCGAAACGACGCTATCCCCCAGGGAAAAGAGCCTAACGCGGATGTGAAGGCCCGCAGGTGCGCTGCTACATACCTCGTGCGAAAGAACCCACGGGCTGCAATCCAAGCCTGGACGCACTACCGGTACATACAAAGGAAAACGACCGGTTGGACTGGGACACACTGAATTTTCTTCCCCGGACTGTTGGTTATTGGGGCATCTAGCTTTTCATTCCCCCCTACGAATCTGTGTATGAATCAACTGGAGTAGCAGCGGAAACGCATTTGGGGCGAGACATAGCCGGGCGTGCGTCCTGAATTGCATCCCCCGGGGCCTCTCGCCTTATGGGATGCATGACAACCTATTTCGAGATCACGTTTCGCTGGCTCAATCCCTGGACCGTTCTTTCCGGCGCTACAGCTGCAGTACTTGACTTTCAAAATTGTTCTTCAACTCTTCCCGAAAACGTCTGTTAGGAAGCAGGCCTTGACACGTACTTGCATCTACGCCTACCAAACACGCAAAAACTGCGAGTTGTTTGTTTGCCCCCAGTTCAGTCGATCAACCCTATACGAAGCATACCACCAAATGCATATGTACGCCCAAACACGCAAGGCCTGCAAGTTGTCGTCATGGGCGTTCCTTTGACAGTCGGACACCAACTACATTGCCATGGAATTTCCCATGGTTTTATGGTACGGTTTCTCGCCCGACCGTGGTTTTTACTACACCCCGCGAAGGTTTTGGGACACACAGCCGATGAAGAAGCCGGGGGAGGAGCCGGAAGAGCCAGGGGAGATCGAGACCAAAACCATCGACGACGTCAAGCCCGAGCCGTACAATATGCCTCCTGGGTTCGAGTGGTGCCATGTTGACGTCATGGATGCCGCCGAAGCGGAGGTACTGCTGTTGTGTTGGATGGTTGCGTGTGTTTCGGCGCTCAGGTTTTGGGTAGCGCCTCATGCGCTTGGCGGGCAGTCGGGAGTGCAGAATGTCTACCGTCAACATGTCTGGGTAACTAAAGACACACCGCCTTCATTGTCGAACTATCGTAGAGTTGGTTTGAACAGAAGGGGGGTCATTTTACGGGACGGTCGAGAAGCCACCCACTGGTGGTGTTGTCAGCGTTTCGCGTCCGGGGTGGCGGTGTGGTTGATAAAGTGTTTCTGGGCATGGCACGCGCGTTTTTTTACCTTGTGAGGTGGTCATACGTCCATGATCAGTTGGACTGGCGCTTGCGCTGTGTAGAAACGAGTCTTGCTGCATACGGCCAACCAGATGTTAGCTCACAGATGGAAAATTCGGCCGTTTCTCAGCCGGTAATATGCTTCTACGATATCGAAAACGCGGATACATGGCGAGCGCGGGACTGTCGTATTTGGTGCATTCTGTCGAGTTCGAACAATTTTTTTGTGTTTGTATTTGGCGGTGCTGCTGCCGGTACGACCGACGCGCATGCCATGTCCCACCGCTCTTGCCGCTTGTGTAAACACCGCCTTTCCGTCGATTGTTGCTTGATTACGCGCCTTGCAGGAGGTTTACACCCTCCTGTCGGAGAACTACGTGGAGGATGACGACAACATGTTCCGGTTCGACTACTCGAAGGAGTTCCTACGATGGGCGTTAACGCCCCCTGGTGAGAAACGCCGGAGCGTGTGACGAGGGATTAGTTTGCGAGTGATTACCCGCTCGCGATTGTTTGTTTATCGTTCTTCGGGAGACAAGTGTGTCCCCTTGATACGGCTGGAACGGGTATTCGTCTCTTATCGACTGGAATGTAAAACCGGTGGGAGAAACGGGATAGGAAGCTTTGTGGACTCTGCTCATGTCGGGACTCTCAAGGAAACCACTATTAAGGGCACGCTGTGTTGCACACGGCTTATTCTTTTCTGTGCGGCACCGGTACACTGCTGTAGTTGCCCTGCTGCTTCGAGTGTGGCTTTCCCTGAGTCACAGCGACAGGTACCTATCTCGCCGCACCGATCACTACATCCTTCACGTTGCAGCGAAAGTATGTGCCGTCGACAAGGGACCCGTGTCGCCGCTTGATGAACAACGCAGGGTACTCGGCGGAGCTGCACGTGGGGGTGCGGAGCTCGAAGGGGAAACTGATGGGTCTCATCACGGCCGTGCCCACACAGTGAGTCCTGTCGTGTCTTGTCGTGTGGTGCTCTCAGCTTGCCTTGACCTCTGCCGTGCATACCATTAACTCATCCGTGCAGTCTTTTTTTCAGCTTCAATCCGCTGCTTTTTTTTTGCGTTTCTAGGAGGATGATACGTTGCACATTTGCATATGATCTCCTTATCAATGTTTGTGTCCTTTTAGACATGGCGGCAAACAGTTTGGAAGGTGTTTTCTCTTCGCCGTGTCATTGGTTTCACGGACGTGAAAGGATTGGTTGGTGGTTTGTTTCTGAGACCCTGGGGGGCTCCGTAGTGGTGGATTGGCTGCGCTGTGTAAGTACCAACAATGTGTGTGCTTTGTCAACAATGCTGAATTGTTCGTCTGTCTTGACATGTTCTTGACGTCGATGATCAAGACGCCTTGTTGAATTGATTGGGTGTGGCATTTTGTCATGGTCGGGAGGGGGGTGATAGATTTTTCGATCGAAATTGTTCACTTCGATGATGAAGACGTCTTGTAGCATGGATTGGGTGTAATAGTTTGTCATTCATGATCAGGATGGGGGTACCGGACTCTTGGATCGAAATTGTTGACATCGATGATCAAGACGCTTGTTGCATGGATTTAGTGTGGCGTTAAATCATTCATGATCATCATGATCAATCAGGATGCGGGTGATGGGCTCTTCGATCAAGACGGTGGAGATTAACTTCCTGTGCGTGCACAAGAAGCTCAGGGCCAAGAGGCTGGCGCCGGTGCTCATCAAGGAGATCACTCGCCGGGTCAACAGGATGGGCGTGTGGCAGGTATGTACATACGTACGTTTGAATGCATTTTGTTTTCTGTGATACGAAGGAGTCGAGATTAGTGGCAGAATTAAACGTTCAGCCACCTGTCATAAACCGCCGAAACGAGGCGTGATGGCGGCGTCTGAAAGAAGTCGCGTCGCAGCAGCATTGTTTCACGTGCTGCGAGCACACAGTTGCGTGATTGACTGAAGTGAGGGGCGGCTGCTTTTGTTGAGGTCGCCGGTCCATGCATGTATGTCTACTTTGTCTTTTGGAGTGACTTCACCGCCTTTTTTTGTGTAGAACGACCACCCTCTGATGTGTGCGTGTTTGTGTTTCCTGTTTGCGTGCCGTGGCGCGTTGTGCTGCGCACGAGGTTGTTTCGTGTGCTGCGTAAGTGTTTGCCGCCCTCTCAAGGTGATGGTATTCTATGGAGAGGTGTTGTTTCTGTGTGCAGTATCTCGTCGTGTTTGCTCCACCCCTGACTACGATCTTTGAATTCTTTGTAGATGTTGTTGTTGGGGAAACAGAGATGGTACTTGTGTTTGTTGAAGAGCACGCAAATGTGTTTCGCACCCGGCCCGGTGAGATGTCACTCCCTGACTCTTGAGACCCTGTGCTCTCCTACCTCCGCCCGCCGCCCGCCCTTGTCTCTATTTTGCGCGGAACTAGGCGGTGTATACGGCGGGGGTTGTTCTTCCGACCCCACTGGCGTGTTGCCGGTATTACCACCGCTCCCTCAACCCAAAGAAACTCATCGAGGTAAGTATGCATTCGCATCGTTTTTCTCACGGTTTGGCCGCGTGTGTTCCCCTCCTTGTTTTGAATGCTGTCGGCGTGGTGTGTTGCGCATGGCCTCCCTAGCATGCCGGATCAGTCGACCCGTGAGGGTGTTGATGTGCAATATGAACGTCGCAGTGCTTCGTCTTTGCTGGACTCTAATTATAGTCGTTTGTGCTCTCCGTTGCCGGCGTCTTTTGGTTTGTTTGCCAAGTATGCTGTTGTGTGCTTTTGCCAATCGTGCCCTGTGTTGCGTGTATGGCGGTTGTCGATCACGTCCACTTTGATTCACAGGTGGGCTTCAGCCGTTTGGCGAACCGCATGACCATGGCGAGAACAATGAAGCTGTACAAGCTACCAGACAACACCAACAGCGCCAGTGAGTGACTGCAGCACAGCGGCGAATTCGTATGTGTGTTCACCATGTGTGTTGTCACGAGGGCGAGAACGAACGGATTCCCAACGGGTGCAGACAGCTGCCGATACATGCGCACCCAAATGCCTTCGGGTGTCTTTCGACGTTAGTAGCCCCGTTCCACCCATCTTGCAAAGGGTGGAGGCTCTGGGTGTGTGTGAAGCTCCCGTCTGTCGTGAGTTTGCCTGCACCGAGAGACCCCTGCAACCATGCCACTCGTTTCTGACTGAAACCCCCCTCGCCCCCTTACGACCGGCGTGGCGAATGAACTTGCTGCAACGGCAATCGCCTACGGCATCACTGCTTTTCGTGCGGTGGCGTCGACTGACGGTACACGATTGGACCGCCACTGCAAAATGGAAAAGACGTATCTGCGATGCAGCCGGAGGATGTGCCGTCCGCCCACGCCCTCCTTAGCAAGTACCTGGAGCAGTTCAAGCTGGCACCTCAGCTCAGCGAGGAGGAATTCGCGCACTGGCTGCTGCCGAGGGAAGGGGTGGTGGACTGCTTCGTGGTGAAGGACAGAAACGGGAAGGTAACCTGCCCACCCAAGGGGCAAGGCCGTGTTGCGTACGGGATAGAGAGGGACGCGATGCTGCCCTCGCCTCATATCTTTCTGTTGCAATGTGGCGTGCCCGTGGCCTGCGCTACCCACGCTCTTCTGCCCACGCTCTTCTGTTGCTTTCGTTTCCGATCTTGGCGGTGTGGTTCGGACTGCATGGTACGCCCTCTTTCAAGCCGTTTTCGTGTCCCCGTTTGGGGTCCTCGGCGAACGAGGTAGCGGCGGGCTGCTACAACTAACTGACAAACCCGCTCTCGAGTTCGGGGGCAACATGACCGCGACCACACGGCTGCTCTTTCCCTTTACAGCTGCTATTCCTCCTTTCAGTGCTGTGAACACAACCACGGTGTAACATCTGCAGTTGTTTTCGGTATCTACCACTCAACGACTCAGGTGACGGATATGTGCAGCTTCTACCACCTGCCGTCTACGGTGATTGGGCACGCGAAGCATCGTACGCTTAACGCGGCGTACTCCTTCTACAACGTCGCCACCACGGTAAGGAAGTGCGAGCACAACAACAGCAACAACAGCACCACCACCAACCATTGCAGAATATTTGACAAGATAACCAGGCTTGTCCCTCATGTCGCATCGGTGTAGACTAAACCGTACTTCAAGGCGAGGTTTGGGACGGGGAGCTCCATGTACATCGTCACGACCACCGCAAGGCGGCGCGGAAAATCGTAGGCACGCCCTGCTACACACCCGTTTGATTTGGCGGCGTTCTAAACTCTCGACGCTGCTTTGGATACGGTTCGGTCGAAATGGTGGTGTTGAATGGGGAGTCGTTCTTCGACCCATGGTTTGTACCGGGGTTGGTCGGCACAGCGACACGATATTCATATCAGGTGTCACGTTTGTCTTGATTTTCGCAGGTAACGATGACGGAGCTGATGCGAGACAGCTTGGTGCTGGCGCGTAACCTTGGCATGGACGTGTTCAACGCCCTCAACCTGATGCAGAACCAGGAGTTCTTGCAGGTGAGTCACTGCACGTTACCTCACTCACGCTTTTCACTCACGCTCTGGTCGTCATATTTCATTCACCCGGTCTCGGGGGTCGGAAAGAGGTTGAGCCTGGGCATACGATACCGTACCTCTGTAAACGCAAGAAGGGCTGATTCCATATTGCAGAATTGACACATGGGAGTGTCACAAATCCACACGTCAGACGTTCCATGTGTCCGAGAGATGCAGGAGAAGTCAGTACATATCAGGTCAAATCCTGATATAGCTTATAGCGGGAACGAGGACCTGTTGCCCGCACAAGACGAGCAAAACATGAAGCACGTCTACGTACGTATTTGTGCAACGAAGCGGTCACGCGTGTTTTTGCAACAAAGCGATAACGCGTGTTGTGCAAAGGCGAATGTGGACACGTTTGGATCCTTCTTGATACGGTGGTCTGTGTTGGATGGCGAACCAACGGCACGTGCTTGCTTCGCATTTCCTCGCCTGTTGCAGATACCCGTATCTTTATCTTGTAAGGGAGATGTGTTGGGTAGCTTGGATTTTGTGCGCAAACAGTACCGTAGTCCTGCTCCCAAGAAGCCTTCCTTGACAGCGCTGTACGTATGTTGAACCGGTAGTTTGCCAGCTTTGTATTTCCTAAGAGCACAATCTGTCTGTGTCTCAAAATCCATTTTGCTTGAATCATGACGCTCCTCGCCGTACCCCAGGTCTAGACACGGTGAGCTTCACGGAGGCTGGCCCTCGTACGATGCATGCAAAGTAACGAAATGCATGCTTTTTTGATCTAAAAAGTTTTACTGCACCCTTCCTTCACCAATCCCTGTTCATTTCACCCCAGATATCCGACCATCTGTGCTGATTCATGGTCCCTCCTCACCCCATGCCCTCCGAACCAAAACATCTCAGACGCTCAAGTTCGGGATCGGGGATGGACACCTGCAGTACTACCTGTTCAACTGGCGCTGTAAGGAGATTACCCCCCAAGAAGTCGGACTGGTATTGCTATAGTTTGCGGGCGTATCACCCCCCCCCTCCCTTTTTCGAATACTGTAACTGCAGTTGTTCGGGGAGGGTTGGCCGGAGGGGGGGGGGGGGGGGGGGGGGGTTCCCCCCCCGCGCTT